CCCGGCCTAAGTTATAATTCAATTTCAAGGTGTTAAGCTTCGAATTAAAAAACGAAAAAAAAACAAATAAAGCATTAGCAATAAATGGTTTCAGTTCCTAATACTTTTCATAAAGTACATGTAAACGTAAAAGATGTAGATACCGGAAGCATCTCTAGTTTAACATAAATGTGCACATATCATATATACACACACATGTAGTATACATATAGTATATAGAAAATTATAATTATATTCATATGGATTTTTGCTATGTTTATTTTATTTAATAATTTCATAAATGAAACAACATTGCTATGCGCATCACGTGCTATAAATTCCATTGTGGCCATGCAGTTATCGCCCAACACCAAGCAAGATAAATAAATTTCATTGAATTCCGTATGATATTGAAATTATAACGCATCGTAAGTAGTTTTGTAAGCAATCGCACTTATATATACAAATATGAAAGGAAAAATATTTATAAGCATAAGAAATAAAGAAATCAAGTACAATGACTGCCATTTGAGGGTGGACGAGATGTACTCACCTTCACGCAAATAAACCTGCAGATAAACGTAATATAAAAGACAATATATGCGAATTGATGACAATTGATGTGACATACTCTTAAGTAGAAATAAGGAAATGTACTTATGTGATCGGTGTAAAAAATATTGGGAATTGTAAAAATATTTTATTACCTATTGTTAATTGACTTATGACACAAGTACGCTTGACCTGATGCATTTTAATTAAGGTACAATGTTACGGCATTTCAAGGATTCTTTCTTCATGCTTTCAATTGACTCAAAGAGTTCTCCCCGAATATCGAAATTTTGCAATAAAAAATACGAAAAAAACAAACCAATAACGAATATATGCTTGCTTAAATGGCTTAAATTTCTTGCACAACGATTGACGACACTTAGCTTTCTTTTAAATCTATTTACGCGGCTATAAGATTCATATTTAAAACCAAATATGTGAGAATATTATAAACGGGATTAAAAGATGTTCTCACGCGAAAATCAGGTTCTTACAATGATTTTTAAGTCCCAAAATCTTGATTCGGTTTTGTATCGTTCAACCAGAGGAAAGTTATGGGAGAAATGTAGACGTGTATTACGTGTATTATTGGAAAGCCTACCTATGCACGATTTTCAGCGAGCAACTTATTTGCAACACAGTCTTGAAAGAAAACTCTTTGATCAGCTAAATTTGTAAGTTTAGGAAACTTTTAAAAATGTTAAACTACGAATAAACTGAATGTGCGCCTTTAAGCACTTAGTGAATGAAATTTAATGTAGTCTATATTACATGGTAACTAAGTCTTTAAACAAATCATTCTTACACAAGGATTTCCCGCCAAAAACGCGACTACAGGTCGATCAAGTTCCTAAATTTATTATTAGATTTATTATTTACTTTCCGTTAATTTTTTGTAAACCTATTATGGAATATAGCGAAGTTAATTATTCTAACATAATTTTTTTAGTTAACAAGAACTAATCATTCAAGGCGGGATAGTCTGACAACTGCAGGCCTTAAACAATCAATTAATATTTTTTATGAGGAATTTGTAATAGTTTGAAACTTCGATAACCGATAAATATTATAATAAAAAGCGGTGATAACAATAATTATTTTTATTATTATTATAATTACAATGTAAGACTAATGAAATAAATTCTTAGACTAAAAGAAAAAGACATTGAGCACTGGCAATACATTCTGTCGGCTCTAATTTATAAAAATACATTAGATATTGAGCCTAATAGTTTTAACAAAGTAATATATTTCATTCTGTAGCTAATTTTAACATGTCCATGAGATTAGTCACCCCAAGGAAAAGTTAAGACAGTCACAAAGAATGTGCTTTGTAGTGAGAGTTTGTTTACAATTGAAGATTGGGGAGGAGGACTTCTTCAGGATCCATTGGATCGTTGCAATTGTATCGTCAGGACGAATTCCCGTGGATGTTTGGATCTTGATTTTCTCAATAATCGTGGGATATAAAGGCGGAATTAATTGAGGATTAATGGAAGCGTAGCGCTGATGATGGTATTATACATTTTCTTCTATAGTTTTCCCTTTAACTTTTCTACCAATTTTTGAAGATCCAACTTTTCCATGACATCATCCATAATTAGATGAGATGGGGATGAGAAAATGCTCCAACTGTTAATAAAAGCTGGTGTTAACGTCTGCACGTGAAGAGAATCAAGATGCTGTTGGCCGTATACTGGGAATGGCAACGGCACTGGTAATGTTGAAGCAAGCCCATCGTGCTAAAAACAATTTAAAGCGCTTGGCAAAGGTAGCGTGGAAATTTGAAGAGGCAGAATATTTGGAACGTAGTTGGCTTCTATTAGCGGATATAATTCAAACCATCTGAGAAAATACAAATTCCATACAACTGAGAATGTTTGAATAAATTTCTTTACATGCATTGTAGGCCTTTAGAGAATAAGCGCATATTCGTTTTCAATAATTCAATTTTTTATCTTATATAATGAAATCTAATAATCTAATGAAATCATTTTTCCTGCTAATTGAGAAGAATTTAACACTGGATTCGGAAATATTACAAAAAGTGTATTTGACTTATTGCCGAATGTGTACCATTTATTTGCCACACAAAGTTTTAAGCGATTACATTTTTCGAAAGAAAATGTATTATCTGCCCAAAGCTACATTAATTCTAAAACGAATTAATTTTTTCATCTCAATACGTTTGGAGAGTAGAATGTGACAAGCTAATTGTTCTAATTCTAAGTAATTATAGTCGACTTAATAGATAAAATCCCCTGACGTTTACGAGAAATCGGTGCCTGGGATATTATAATATCAAGTGCCCAAGATTATGGGTAGTCAATAGAAAACCAAGGAAGCAGAATATTTCTGATATTTCATTTTCAACGCTAATTTGAGTGCAAAAACTGCTAATGTTTCTGTCCGCTGCTACTATGCCATATTGCATGAATTTCTTACATTGAGACATTCTCCCATATATACATATCTATATACATATACATATATATATATATATATATATATATATATATATATATATATATACAAGCAGCGTATTTTCAACGCTTCGGGAAAATTCTTAAGCCATTATCTGATCAGTTGTTTGCTTAAGTCTTTTCTGTTTGCAAGTGTTAGTCATGTTAGATTAATTTCTTAACACGCATACGAATTATGGACAAGAAACTTTACAGTTTGCATTTTCTTTGAACTTTATCATAAACCTAGCGATTTTCTTAGCAAAATTATTCCATTTATATAGTCAAATTATTCCAAATGATGAGCATTAATTTTCCTTTGACGAAACCCGTAGCACTTATTTGCAATAAAATATATCTTTCATATTGTGCGACTAACATATTTCTTCTATATAATTATTCCAATTGGAAGAAAGACATGTTACATATTATGACGCTTTATAACAAATTTGAGGTGCAGAAGCAGCATACTTCGCCGCTCTATCATCTTGCTCATTTCCAAATAAACCGATATGACTTGGTAGGCAAAGTATTTTAATTGTTTCGCCGTAATGATATTTCGATAACAGAAATATTTTCAATTGATAAAACAGAAAAACTTCTCACTAATTTTTTGTTGAAAAATAAGAATCTTCAATAAGTTACTTCGCTAATCGTAGGTGGACTATTCCAAAATTAGTAAGAAGCAGTATCTCGCCTCGCAAACTCTTGGATAGTTCCCGTACTACGTTCCTACTTTTGTTTTGCACCAAATTTGCAAATTTGAGAAATTCTCGCGGATTTATTATTAAGATGGGAAACCGTTCTTTTTCGGCATGTGGACATGTCATAGGATAATAATAATCGAAGAAGTTTTTAATCAAATATTTAATTATTGAAAAAGACATCCTTTTGAAGAATATTAAAAGGGAGTAACATCGACATTGCGGAAAGATCGCATAATATGCACGTCTATATTTAGTGAAAAACGGATGGGAATTTACACATTCACTTTCATGCGCCGTTCAAACAGACGAAAGACAATCCCCCACGTATCGCGAAAGATAGCATTATTTTAAAGATATTGTAAGAAATTCGAGATATCGTTCGACAAAATCGCGCTTAAACATTTGAAAGACATTATAGACAGATTTCTCTGTCGCAGTAAATGTCTTACTAAATTTTGCTATTAACTACTTATACCATGACCATAAAAAAGCCCTTTCATTTTCAAATATTTTTCCCCATTATTCTTGCCCGAATATCTCCTACCAGAAGTTATCAATTTTATTGCATCTGTTGAAGACAGGGTGTGACTTGTTACGATTTAGATAGAGCGGTAAACCGGTAAAAAAAAAATAAATCTAAAGCCAATTAACAATTAACATCAAATGAACATCTCAAATATATAATTTTGTGGCAGAAGCATTGAAAGCTTTCGAATTGTCTCAACGTAATCTCTACTCAAGCATCTTTTCAATGAGGTTAAGATAATGATTTTTGTTTGGATATGCTCTTAAGAGCATTAGTCAATCATTTTGAAGAAAGCTCGAAGTATTTGAAGAAAATTTCTCTCAGGTAATGCATTTTTTTCATAGACTTTTTCCGTAGAAAATATAAAGCATCTGTATGTTAACCCAATAAAAAAATCCTGGAAAATTTACAGCAGTGTTATCCTGCAAGCCGATATTTAAGACTAAGCTAAAAATTCTAGGCGGAACATTTTAAACGTACGAGTCATCATTTATGCATATCAAGAATGCGTTTTTGTCAATAAATACTCTTTAGAACTTTTTCTAATCAAGTTTTTTTGAACATTTTCGCAGCAAAAGATTACTTGCGCATAAAATTTTACAAATTTATTTTCCATTTGCTTAATAACAGTACGATTTTTTATCAGATAATTTATTTAAACTTTTATTAGAAACTTAATTTCTGGAATTTTTTCTTAAATATAAATTACTAGGTAAAGTAGTCTTATGCAAAGCTTGTATAAGCAGTCATTTCGTTTTATCTAAATCATAGAAACTAAAGCGATTCGAAAAGAAATGTTACCTTCTTTTAAAACCTTTCAAATACTCCTAATAATATAAATACGTAATGTCTTTGTTGCGTTTACAGGTTCATTTCATTTGATAAAAGATTTCTATATGCTTTTCTTTCTTTCCCTCTTGCCTTTTTCTCTCTTCCTCTCTGTCCGCTCCACACTCGCTTTCGGATTTTCTTCTCTTCTCTCATATTCTCTTCTACTATATTGTTTTCTCTTCCGTTAACTGTCTTTCTTTGCTTGTTTATTTTTCATCAAAATGACTCTAATACCCTTCAATTTCGCGACATACGCCATAGCTGTCACGTCTTTTCCCGGGCGCACATCGTTCTATACCATCACTGAGCAAGGATTTGGCATCAGTATCCATAAAACTGCCGCCATGCAGTACCAATTCTACATCATCTTCAAAATCAGCAGGCGGCACTATAATCTCTCCCATGGGCAAATCGGTATCCAGACTCTGACTACTTCCGCCACGTGCGTCTAAATCATCTGTCAGATCTTTTAAGTCGAAATTACGAGAATTTGAATTCAAAGTTATATAATTAGTATAATGGGGCACAGGCACATCCAGGGGGGGATAGAGTTGAGCTGCACCCAATGACAAATCTGAACGATATATTGGCAATTGGGTTCTTCTAGCCATCAAATTACTCAACGGAGATAAACTATTGGTAGAGGCCACACGATTTGCATCTAAATAGTTATTTTCACCTCTGATGGCACGAGCTAAACGAAAATATCCGGGCTGGGCGCTTGTCACTGCATTTCCACTTGTAGCTGCTGAATGTATAAAGACAATTTTATTAGTATCGCTATTGCCAACGGCTTTAGGGTATACAATTTGATTAAAAGCCTCTAGATTATTACCCGGTGAGTGTTTAGTTGACGACGCCAATTCTGGGGGTGGTAAAGCTTGTATAACTGTGGCTTCCGCTTCAAGATGATACGGTTTAATGAGTTGCTGGTAAGCCAAGGGATAAGGTGGCGGCAGTACATCCACTTGGCGATCAGGCTGCATACGCGCTTGCGCTATTTCTTCATTGCCTGTGGAAGAAATGTCAACATGATACGGAGTTCGACCCTCAATAAATTCGTTTTCTATATTAGGTAGATTGTTTGCAGAATCGGAAGATCTTGATAAAAAATTAATGTTATGTATACCACTGCCACTAGTTTTTAAAGGTTGTCGTAACTTTCCAGAAAATTCCGGTTGTAGGGAAGCAGATGTTGTTATATAATGTTTCTTTTTACCCTGCTTGCTAGATTGAGAAGTGCGACGATAACTAGCTTTTGTTAATATATCCAACAAATTCATACCATCGGCTGGGCTGGGTGGTATCAAAATAATTAAGAAATTTTCTAAATCGGCTCTAATGTTATATTGGCCCTCTTGTCGTTGATCATAGGTAACGACACGTCTTTTATCCAATTCTTGGAAAGGATCTGGTAGAGATACGGGTAATTCTGACACAACTTCAGAAATCAATCCTGGATCTGCATTAGGATCTTGAGTGGAAGATGATGGAGACGACGCAATAGTCGACGTCGGGGTAGAATCTTCTTTCTCGGTAGTGGAAATTGGTTCACTCGCAGTGGTAGTGGAGGTGCTAGCGGATGATGAAATTTCTTTTAAGCCATAACTAGTGGTTTGATAACCGGCTACAGCGCTCAAGAACGCTGCATATAATATTAAACCACGCATTTAATTGCGTTTTTTTCAATATCAATAATTCGTTAGCGTTTATAAGTTTTTACCGTACAAATTTTGATAACGTTCTTAACTCGCGCTCCAGCACCACGCAACTGTTCATCTCCAGTGGTTCGCTGCTAACACAACACTTCGTTTTTCTACTCTTCTCACTTAGTCGCACACATGTATACTGAAAGTGATTGCTTGCGGTTTGGATTACATGCGTTTCAATTCTTAACCAACAACAACAAATCTCTTAACTTGACCATTTATAATCATCATCAGAATAATAACTACAGCATAAGCAACTAACAAACGCTTCGCAAACACTAGTTACAAGTTCTGACACAACGTCAGTATACTTTTTACAAAGTTTTGTTTTTTCTTGTTTTTTACGACTTCTTGTAGTTGTTGTTTTTCTTGACTTTCGCCAATAAACTTTGGATCGCATTGCGCACACTCGGCTTTCTTTGCTCACTCACATAGAGTGGGCTTACATCACTTTAACCAAGCGTTGTATAGCTTTCTTTACAATAACAATTTATTGAAATAATTCTGTTTTTGTTTTAATTTATTAAGCATTGTGTGCCCATTTCGTTTTTTGTTCAATTTCTTCTTTCTCCTGCTTTGTTTTAATAAAAAATGTAACGTTTATGTGATTTTTATAGCTTTCTGCGCATCTTTTCCCAATAGTTACAATTGTTAATTAGGGAGTTGAAAGTATGTGAGCACGTAATGATCTATGCATCAAAGAAGCTATCAAATATACTTTTTGATTAACTTGAGCCTCTGAACTAACTTAATCACTTCTCATCCATCTACGAACTTGTCCGCTAACGAAGTTCCCAAAATTTTCTAAAATCAAAACACAAAATTTGGAGAACGAAAAGGCATGCCTGGATGTTCGTATTCACAAAAATTCTATTTCAACATATATCATAAACTATCCCATACAAAGTAAAGCTTTGACATTACATTTGTGCATGTACAGGCGTCTCTTGTATAACACAGTACTTGTGAAACGCGATTAAAAATTTACGATTTTGATAAAAAAAAAATTTTGATATCGAATTCGTGTTCGGTCGGATTTTTTTTCAATGGCTTTTTGCAGTTACTTTTCTTTTTATCGTTAATAAAACGAGTTTCAACCAACTTCTAGGAAAACAAAAACAAAGGCTAGCTGTAATTCTTAATGCAAATTAATTTTATTTATTTTTCCAACATATTTTTAATTTCCCCACTTCATCATAGTGTTTACCTTCTTATTTTTTCTTTTTGTTAAACACGTCAACACGTTTTTTCACCCATCACCGAAAGATGAAAGGTATATTCATGTTGTCAAAACGTTCGGAATGCCCAAAAGGAAGCATCAGAGACCCCACAAAGTATATATATTCTTGATCAGCATCAAATTCCAAATCGATTTAACCATGTCCGTCTGTCCGGTTATCCGTCAGTGTAAGATCTGTTGCAAACACTCTCCTAGCCACAAAAATAAGGCTACCGGCTTCTACTTTCGCAAAAGCATCGGAAGTTATATCGCGCAGCTTGGAACTCAAAATGGGCTAAATCGATTGACGAACACGCCTACAGTGCCATGAAAGCTGATAACACATCTACTTTTCAAAAGCAACAAAAAATTGCTTTTTTGCTCATTACTCATAAACTTTAGATTCAAAAATTTGAACGCTTATTCTAAGGGAAATGCTGTAGGACGCTTACCCAAAGTTATAGTTTATCAAAATTTAATTTTTTTTTTCAATACTTTTATAAGGCAAAAGCCACATAAGGTACACAAATTATTAGTCTGTTTCAAATTTGGAACGCACCTAACGCACCTTCTTCTGTCCATTTGTCTGTCTGCGCGACTCTATGGCATTTTTGGTAAACAATCTCCTGTAAGCGAAAATGAAGGGCGACAAAAACTATTGTTATTATTTAATAGAGCATGAAAATGCAGTTCTTTGTCTTTTGCAGTTTTCGTCTTTTTTTAGGATAACGGTCGAGACCGAATGTGATTTGCTTACTTGTTTTATTGCCTGTTTATTTATTTAATATCATATCCGTGTTGGTATATAGCTCCCCTTGGGGAATATTTAGTTGTTATCCTTTTAGATAGATTGTAAATTAAACATGTAACAAAGAAGAAGATCAGATGATTCCTTCTTTCTATTCTTTCTATCTAACAAACGCTTTTTAGATTTTTTATTTTTAAAACAAGTAAGAACATTATAATCGGGCAGCGCAAACTATTACATAGCCTACACTACATGCCGAGAGAAATTATTCGCTTTCGTTTTGGTAATATTACACCAAAAGGTACACATTATTTTCCCGAATACTTTTCATGAAAACCCGCCAGCTATCTAACTGGAAAGGTAGATTTTCTCTCCATATAACAGTTTACGTTTCGTGACAGCAAAAAATATAGACCAATGTAATCCCTCAACATTTTATTGTCAAACACTAACAAGAATCGGTGTTAAATGATGGCCGAAGATGCAGAGTTCTATTTATCTAGGTGTCTAAAGAAATGTAAAGAAAAACGTTAAGCATTTCTCTTCGCTTCAAGTAAGACTCTTCCTTCTAGGAATTTGGGTTAGAATCCACTAGTCTCTTCGCTTTGTTGCTGTAAATAAGTTTTAGCCTGAGCTTCAGTATATAATATAGGTGTCTGCTTTTTACTTAACCGACGCAGATAAAAATGTGAACTTCGTAGACTGTTCACGGTCGTTTGCTAAGTGATGTCCATAGGCCGGGTCTTTAAATACTTTCAAACATTATAAAACCACGTTAATATGAATAGCTCTTGGTTTATGGTTTGAGTCATTCGTAAACTAAACTAAATATGTCTACTATGGTCAATTACCAAGCTTTTGCAAGTTCGTATCGGTTTCAGAATTCGCTCCTGGCTCGGATCTGCACCAGTTACAAGCATCTCTCTCTCTCTTTCTCTCTCGCTCTTATTGATTTATAAATGAATCTTATTCTTTTTAATCCTTCTCTTCTTTTTGTAGTTTTTAAAGCTTAAGTCCCAATGTTTAGCACCAAATATGTTATTAAATACCCTACTTAAGTCTATTCGTTAATTATGGCTAAATTTAAACTGCAAATAAATCAATAAATAGATCTAACATATATCAATGTAAAATGTACGGCATCTAGAGATGAATTTACGCACACATGCTTAACAAAACGCCTTTGCAGCGTTTAAGACACTGAACACTAAAACTTCGCACTAAAGCGGAGCCATAATCCTTGGGAACGGGAAATGTGCTTGTAAATTTACCTTTATTCCCGAAAACAGCAAACATAATCTTTTTGAGTGCCATTGTAGTTCGCTCGAATTACGGGTTCGGCTGGCATGTTGCCAACCGGGTCTATGGAGGTTCCAATCAGAATCAAGTATCGTCAACAGTTACCAGCATTTCTGGTCCTCATCATGCCCGTTTTAGATTTAGCATCATCAAGCCGTTTCTTGTCTGACTAATTTTTAGCTTAACAAGGTTATTTATACGGAAGCTCCTGCATAACATTGGTATACGTTTTGAATATCGGAGTTAATTTTTTTATTGCAGAAAACTTTCGTAAATCCATAATTAAGGAAAAAAGACTAGAAATTTAAAAAGAATGATTCCCTTTGTCTCTGTGATTCTCTTATTATCCTCTTCCTGCCCCTTTCATTTTTTTCGTTTATCTTTACATCTCTTTCCCATGCTTTTTGGAATAATTTCTACTTAAAGTTAATGATGAACGAAACGTAATGCAAGTTTCTTCCTTGAAACAGTAAACTGTCCTTTACTTTCAGCATTAAACGATGGGAGGGTGCTAAATTTCTATATTTACTAGCTGATAAATCTAAAAAGATTGGCTCACAATAAGAAAAATATAGCAGATACCAACCTAGGGCTTAACATAAGAAAAGTTAAATATAGCAAGTAAAAAACTTATATTCGGTCGTAACGGAATCTTTTATAGCCATCACCGTTCTCCTAAAAAAGGAAAATAATTAAATTTTCATACTTTATAGTACTGGATAGGCGCGGACGATTTTTTCTATTTTTAGAAAAAAAGTGGAAATTTGTATGGTATATGTGTCGAACTTTATGAGCAAGAAGCAAAAAACACAGAAGGCAAAGATGCTCATAGCGTTTGTTACAGAGATAGGTGGGCGTCATAGGTGTGTTGTTCCAAAAGTTTGCATCATTTTCAAATTCTTTTGTAAGTTTGTAAGTGATAACTTCATTTTGGTACCTGCGGTGGTTTATCAGTAATGAGCAAAACACCAATTTTTTATTCATTTTAAAAAAACAGAGATGCCTTCAGCTTACGTAATACTGCAGGCGCGTCTTTTGGCCAATTTTGTCGATTTTCAAAACCAATCCGGGTGCAAGAATTTCCAATGTGGCTGCCAAATTTGAAGTCGATAGCTTCATTTTCGCTTCCAGGACAACGTTTACAACAGAGATTACACACACAGATAATCGGACAGATGCACAGACGGACAGATGAATTAATGCTGATTAAAAATATATTTATTTTGTGGCGTCTCTAAAGCTTTCTTCTAGGCGTGGCAAACATTTGGACAAAAGGAATATACCCCTGGAGCGCTCACAATCTACATAAAGTTTTGCAAGTTGTATACATTAGAACTCAAGCGAAGCCAATATAACTCTTTGAAATTTTTTTTTCAGTTAGAAAATGATCTGAAAAAGGTACTATCAAAAGACAGTTAACGGTGAAATTAATGCGCAGAAGCTTTTAGCATAAAAAAATCTTTACAAATATTTTTGTTAAAAGTTAATTAAAATATTACTAAACTACTATTATTTATGTAATGTAGATGCTTAATGTAGACGTTTTCTTTCTCTAACCGCTTGCAAACGTATCCATAAAACGCTCCGAAAACGACTCTTTGAATCTGGGAAAGGTTGCGAAATTCATAAAGTATATATTAAGATTAAGTCCACAATTCCAAATTGGCGAAGTAGATTTTTTAGGTCTCCATTCAACGATTGCAATGGTATGACCGAACCGAATGTTTGCAAATGTTTTGAAATTGATTTCCTAAACATTGAGTGACATGCGAAAAGTGTGGATGGTGCGACTGTCAATTTTTTTCTTTGAACTTTTCCTAACATACTTTTGAAGGGGAAACCTTTCTGAAATGTGCCAATACTCGAAGCTGCGGATATGTCTGCAAGGTCTACTTGCGCGTTTCACAGGAGACCAATATAAAGTCATTTCATACTTTATTAGCGGTATTTAAGCTGCAATTTAAAGGTTGACTTTTATGACCGATAAACTATGTGCATCAAACTATGATATAGTTTCTCCTAACTTGCGCAGTATATGGATTCTTCCTCCGCATATTTCCGACCATGCGCATATTTCAACACGTAGTACTTGATGGGTCATCGGCAACGTGAGTGGATGCAGTTCTATTTGTTATGAATAATTTGTAATTTTTATTACTGACATCCCTTGTACATCCCTTGATAACCCGTTTCCCATATATTCGAAAATCTGCATTAGTAGTAGGGAAAATAATAAAATTTGAATTAGTAAAAGTAAAACCAACTTTAAAAACTGTAATGATTATTTGTGAACATATAAAAAATTGATTAACGCATAACTACAACTTAATATATTATTGTATCGTTAATAAAGGAAATGACCAATAATCGAATAACCACCACAGTTTGAAGAATAACAGAAGGAAAAGCAAGATAATTTCTCTCCTCTTGAATGCGTTAGAATTGGTCAATTACTGTTTGAAGTTAAACAAAACCAGTTTTCATTCTAGTTCATACATGTGAATCGCTTACAAACAATTTCCGTGAGGAAACTTGGCTAAAATTCTAAAAGTTAATGTAAGAAGACTTTTCTTTATGGTTAGTTTTTCCTGTCTTTTCGTTTTTAGCTCTTCTTACCTCGTCTTATCTGTGATTGCAAAACCGCAGCACAAACAAGTCATTGAACTTATAAAAATGCAAGCACATGTCAAAAAAACAAGTTAGTGATTCTTGCTGATTGGTTCAATTGTCAGAGTTGATAGACCTCACATTATTGTGTAATAAATATGCATGAAATTTATTATTCCTTAAACTTTTTTGTAACTGTGAAAAGCAGGCTTTCTTCTTAACTTCTTTTCTCATCAAATGAAAAATAAGTCAAATTGATAACCTGATTACTATGATATTTATGAAAACACTTTTTATCGAAAACAATAATTTGAAAATTTGAAAGAGCAAATGCAAGGTGCGCGGTCTAAGCCATTTTTTTTTTTTTTTTTTTTTTTGTTTACTTTTGGAAACTATAATCAAGAGTAAAATTGTTATAAAAAAAAAGGAAAAAAAATAGCACTCAACAATTTTCTAATATGCAAATTACCATTTATTTGCAGCAATTAAAATGAACAAAAAAGTTTCATTACAAATAAAAGAATAAAAAACAGCTAAACTTACAGCGATGTTGATGTCAGAAAAGGTGTCATATAATCCTTGGCACTCTTACTTTTCTTTACATATCTTTATTTTGTCTTATCCAATCTTATCTTGTATTTTGTTGTTGCACCTGATGTTATCTTGCATTATCTTATGTTATCTTATGCTATCTTATTTTATTGGCTTGTCTCCTCTCTTCTCTCGTTTTTAATTCTCTACTTTGTTCTTGTTTTTGTCTCCATCCATTTCTTTTTCACTATTCGGTCCGAGCGTCCAACATAAAAAGTCTCTTCTCTTGTCCTTCTGTTACCCTTGTCCTTATATATGCATATTCTTTGCTATTCTCTGCTCCTTTTTGTCTTTTGCCTTCTTCTCTTTTCTTGCTTGTTAGTTAGTTCCAACACTCCAAAATAAAAAACATATCAAAAATCTATTGGTACTTGCTTCCTTTAAGTCGATCGCCGAACCCAAGTGCACACTTCTGTATGCCTTTAAGTCTTTCTATCTCTCTCTTTCTCCCTCTCTCTCGTGTTGCTACTGTTACGATAAAATTGAAAAAATTTAAAATACATCTTTTCTGAAAATATCTTAATCCAATCACTCCGTCATAGAGATCATATTATTTCATGTACAAAATCCACAATTTATATAAACTTCTTTCCAACATACAAAATGAAGAAAATTATGTATTTACACCTTTGATTTACGTAAAGTTCAATTAAAGTTTAACGAAATCCGCTTTTCATGATGGTAACCTGTGGTTTCAACAAAATCTTGTATAAAAAAGCGAGGAAATTCTTTAACTGCTTATAAAACGTTTTTTCTGCAAAAAGGAAAGGAGAGGAAAAACATGGCTGACAAAATATGTGCAAAATTCTTAAGCATTCAACAACGCAACTTGGCGGTCTTGGGCTTTAATTTGAAGGCTGCGCAACGTCAATACCTAGTGGATAAACCGCTAAAGCTTCTCTTTGTGCTAAGTTGTAATTTTTATTGGACTTACGGTCTAATAAATTTTGCCATCTATAACATAGAAAATTTTGATGAAATCACCGGATCGTTGTCAGTGTTTAATCAGGATATCTTGCTTTTCTTTAAAATGTTCATATTTTTTGCTAAAGGAAGTAAATTCTTAAATTTAATAAACAGGGTGAACAAATTGGCAGACAAAGGCAAATTAAGTAAAAAAAAATTTAATTTTTTTGCTAATAAAACATTAAAATTACAGCAAAAAATCAGGAGTACGATGAGTGGATGTCAGAAAATCGTTTAGCAGAACTAATAGCTAAAGTCTACTCGTATACTTGCCGCGCAGCAGTTACCTTTTCTGCCACCGTTTCTCTAATATATAGCTTTTATGAAACTTATACCTCAGCAGAACTTAAATTAAAATTACCTTTAAAAGCCCGGTAAATTATTTTTTACAAGTTTCAAAATTCAATAACATAATTACTTCTTCTTTAATGCAGTTTTAGTTTGGATGGAAAATTAAGTTACTTTGCGTTTAACTATATCACTTGTGTGATACATCTCAACACAATGGCAAGTCTGACAGTTGGATTGGATAGTTTGTACTTTTGGTTTATTTATAATATATCAGCTCATTTTCGCATTTTACGTAAAAAATTGGAAATCATGGCAGTAAACCTAAGGACGAACCCACAATACTCTATCGAAGACGATCTTGGTACGATTATTGTCTATCACTTAGATATTATAGGGTTCATTAAATCATTGAATGAAATATTTGGTGAAATATTATGGGCTGAAGTTACAATGAGCTGCTTGCAGATGTGTTTTGCCACACATGCTCTAATGAGTGAGGTGGACGTATCAAATGCCCCGTTTAATATTGTGGTCGTGTTTGCGGTCATGATACAATTGGTAATTTACTGTTTTGGCGGCGAGAAAATACGAGAAGAGGTAACAGTTTCTTACTAACTAATATAAAATGTTATAAATAATAATCAAATTTATTGTTATCTTGTAGAGCATATCGTTGTGCAGTGACGTCTACTTATTATTCCCTTGGCATAAGATGTCAATGCAGCAGAAACGTTTGATGCTTTTACCTTTACTACGTTCGCAAAAGGACGCCTATCTAAAAGGTTTATTTTTTCAAATTGATCGAAATCTTTTTGTTTTCGTAAGTAGTACAATTCGTATCGTAACCTTGTTCCCCGTGGGATTTGCATAATTTCATTAATTATTTTCAGATTTTGAAAACAGCATTTTCCCTCAGAACTTTATTTTCAACCTTGTAAAAAAGCGAGCGACAGATAAGCAGTAGCGTTGGATGACGTGTGTGCCAGACTATTTGGAAAATTCGAAATAGTTCAGCACGGATTTCATAAGATTTATATAAATTCCGGAAAAGCATTGTTTGTTATTATTATCATAATTTATGTAGAGCAAAGAAATAAATTGTAGGACTAATAAAAGTAGGATTAGCACTAGCAACCAAGACTATAGACTCTTCTTTTATTAAAAGGTACACTAGATTGCCATTCTATTCGCTTTAATAAAGTGAAATATTATACCTTTTTGATGTTTTGTTTTCTAGGTATTTTCAATATCTCTTGGACGCTCCGCGAGCGCATCTTCGAATATTGGAAAGTTAACAAAGTACATGTTTAACTGTAACATTTTGTCCACAATTGCAATTCGTGAAGGTCAATTTTTTAATTAGTGTGCTGCACTGGTTAGACCAACGCGGATTCTTGTAAAAAGATATTATTATTATCATATTCCGTTCTATTTATGCCCACAGGGCGAATTGTGTGCCAATCGCCCAAAGTGTATAATAAACTAAAATATCCTTTAATAGCAGAAAAAGTATTTTAAAATGTTCGCAAAGAATGCGACTTACTAAAAACAAATAAATTAAGGGCAAATTTAGTATAATGCAGATACCCAGCATGTTAACAGTTTGTTGAGAAATGGAGCCCATAATATAGCTGAAAACAAGTATATTGGGCCACGGCTCAGCTTCAAATGCCCTATGCGTGCGATGTAGACATCTTAGCTAATTTTTGCCGGAATTTTAGCTCATTTTCAAAACGCAATTACTCTCTTCTAAAACATATTCGTAAATGCGTGGGAGTCATTTTTTAGTCTTCGTCCTGATAATCCTAGCAAAAGACTCCGTGCCACGCTGTTCATCAATATTAGCCCTATATAGGGTAAGATATTACCAATATAAACATTGCTCATTTTTTCACATCCTTAGCTGTTGGAAGCGGTTAGTATCAATTTTCAAACATCATCTGCTGGAATAAAGTACAAATTATCTACTTTAAATTTCACAGCTCTTGCCAGCGCCTTAGATTTCCAATAAACAACTTCTATGAATATGTTACATATAAGTAATTTTAGAAATACTGTATTATTGTTATCGGGCTCTCCTTTGAAATAAAAGCAAATTAAAATTAACTTTAGAGTAAAATATTATTATTATTATTATAAACTTAGCCAGACAATAAATTCTAAAACTGAAGTCTTTAAAAAGCGCTAAGTATCTAAAGGCTTTCGGCTTTTAAAAACTGTACCGCGCTTAAGATTTGAACCCGCGACCATTGAGTTGCTAGTCGAGACTCTTGCCTACTCGGCCACTCAGGCGGATTAGGGTATTATAAAAACAGTGACTTTTTCCATTTTCATTTCTTTTCTAATAACCGAAAGTGCCCTACCTTAATAATATAACGCAGTTTCCTGTTTCAATATTTCTGCTACGGTCGCATTGAATGAAAGAAGTGACACGATCCCTAAGAACAACTTAATTGGCCGCATTGAAATTTTTAATTTTTGAAAGCAGTTCTCTAAAGTAGTTCGCCAAGCGAAGCTGACCGCATTGTTTACGTTGATAAATATACATTGGCAGCTGCCAAGCATGTTTGTGTGTCGTCGTTTCGCATTCAATTTCTTTATGTTAGCGCACATAAGTTTATATTGAAGATGTGACCTGAAAAATTAAGTTTCGTAATCTGGATAGTATTTCGTTAACTCTCCCTTAGACTTCAGCTTAACTGCACCTAGGAGCACATTTAGCTTGCTTTTTTTCCATCTGTTACGACTAGTGGCCTAGGTTTGAATAGCCTTTTCTTCAATTATAACTCCTTGAAAAATTTGATGAACATTTCTGAAAGCGAACAATTTCTTTTTAAATTCTTTTCATTTAACTTTACAACTATACCTCTAGCTATCTTTATAAAGTCATCAGTTTGCAAAGTCTTGGAAAACAATGCGGAAGACTTTTCTAAGACAACTTCAAATTCGCCACATCTTATCATGTTGAACATTACAAGACGTATAGAAAAAGTGGAGAAGGAAAACCTGATTTTTTAGCCTAGACCTTAAGACAGCACCATAAGAACTTGTTAGAATAGTATAGGAAATTAATAGAAAAGAAAAAAAAAAAATCATCAAGAATAGTATTAGAAAACCTGTATGCAATTAAACCTTTACCAACTCTTTACTGAATGCAAAAATAAACAAAAAATTAAACAGATTTCTTAGTCTTAGAAGACAAACTAGTCGCACAAAGAATGTTTCTTGTTGACTGATCAAACAAATTTCCAATCATTGCTTTCCAAGCTAGCCAACATAACAGTTTAGGGCTACGGAATCGTCTACCGCAAGAGACAAAATGTGTAAATTTCATAATCATTTATTCGTATTCGCTGTGTATTGCTTTTTAGTTGTAGTAGCAAGCAAACCATTTGAGCCCAATTTAAAAGGGCCAAACGACCACTTAAATGAACTATTGGCTTTAAGTCTTCTAACACCTAAGGATGATTATGACTTGCACTACGACCAGAGACAGAAAGGAAATGAGAATTATCGTTTAAAATTAGACGGATTCTTTTTGGCTTTACCGCAAGAAGATGATTCGTCTTTACTGCTGCTAACCGAAGAATTGCTCGAAAATTTAGGTAAAATAGATATGATATAATATTGTGAGATTACTGACTCATTTCGTGCGAATTTTCTTTGTACACAGATGAAGACATATCATTTGATAAACAAAGATTTCCTATGTCTACAAGAACCAATGGGTCAATAACTGGTTTAAATTTGAATACACGTTCCGTTTCGAAGCCGGAAGTAGTTTTTGTGGAAATGCCAGGTAAAAAAATGCAGAACAAGGCCAGAAATAATATAGACCCGTTAGGTAACGATGAAGACGTTACAAGGTAAATAATGATAATTATCTTTCATTATTGTTGTTCTCTAATAACGTCGCACGAATTTTTTAGGCCTAAGTCTTATCTATACCGTTTTTTAAATATGCTGAAGCGTAATCGTAAAGTTTAAAAACGTGCGTTTAAAAAATTACATAAATTGTTACAATATATTAATTGGTTTTTAAAAGACTGGGAAACACTTTTAAAGCGGTTTACAATTATACTATAGGTTTAAGAATATTAATAAAAATAGGACAACTATAATAAGTTAAATTAAAAAATTATTTTTACAAACCAATTAAAGGGGATTTTTTTTTAATGATATTGCCATTTCAGCAATCGTGCATCAATAAAGAGTTGTAAGCATAACTTGAATTGAATGCAATTCGATCTTGTCTGGATTTTAAGATATTTCTCCCTTTCGTTACTCGTCTTTATGATAGTGACCGTATCACAAGTATAGAGGACACCTCGACTGATCGCTCACATTAAAAAAAAACAAAAAAAAAGTCGAATCTTTTATTGTCGCAGACATTTTTGGTCTTAAAACCATAAATTTTTACAAAAAGAAAAAGTTCTACTTTCCTCATATGGAGACATATTTTGCTTTATGAATTTGTAGGGATTAGGATTACAATTTACGAAGGTTTCTTTGAGCCTTTTGTCTTGCCCTCATCCTGACCAAGGGCTTCTCGAGACGTTTTGTGGTAGTTGCGATTATCTCATAACCGTGGAGCATTAAATTGAATACTGCGCTATTAGATAAAGCAAGTATTGCTCAGAAGAAAGGACATGCTTCATACTCATGGTGTGGATCGCCAACTTTATGCTTTTCATTTAATGAATGCTAAGCAATTTCAATAAATCAATAATTCTTTTCACATGGTTAACTAACGTAAAAATATTGCGGCATGAACTCCGCTGACTATATTGGATGACACGAAAGAAAAATCTTCTTCTTTGTTTGCACTGCTAGTTTAAGCCTCCTTCAAAAAAATTTTCAATTTGATTGAGTTTGATTTCATCCGTGATATCTTATTGCACTCATAGATCGCATAGATCATATCGATGAGACGATTAGTTCATCAGATGTAAAAGTCTCCTTTTCTCGTCTAAACTTTTAAAAGTTTGCGGGCGAATAGCTACTTCAAATGGGAACACAGGACGGCATTTTGATGTACCTTTTTGAAAAAATTAGTTCAACCATATCCAAATTTATAAAAAAAATTCTTCAGCTAGTAGTATTAATTAATATTCAATTGTCATTTACAGTTAAATTTAATAATTTATCTTTTTTATTAGAAACAATTAATATACATTTTAATTCAATTTTAAATTATTATATAGTTAATGTTAAATAATCGATTATATTATATAATCATTTAAATTAAGTTTAAAAATATTGCAATCATTTTTGGTAATGGCAAATGTAAGGTCATTTTGAAGTTGTTTTAAAAATAAATGAGGTCGTAATGGTTCAAAATAATTATTAAAAAATACATGGAAATATGTGGAAGGGAAGTATGAAAACATAAATAAAAGTTTAAACAATTTTATTTAAGCAGTTTTTAAATTTAAAATGAGTCCTACATATTTGAGCTAAACAGTTCCGTTAGCAGAAGGTAAGATAAAGGTAAGTTCTTGTTGTATGTAGTCAATATTAAGATTTTGAATATACTGATTTCCTTTTTTTTTATCACGTTTTATTAACATATGTTAAAAACAAAAGCTAAATAAATGCCATAAAATATTTGTCTTTTTAGTCAAACTTATAAACCTATAAAGTTTGCATTGTGCTATAAATAAAGTCTTGTAATTTCGAATAAAATTAGCAAAGAAATCTAACAGAAAACATTTTTTTTATAAAAAATAAAAAAGGAACTAAACTTTAAAATGAGAAATCTCTACTTACAAAATAGCTAACTTTGTTCTCAATAACCATAAGAAAATAATCTCTTATTATTTTAATAATCAGCCTCAAAAAATTAAGTTAATTGTTCTTTTTGTTTTGTAATTATTTCTTTTCTTCGCTTTTTATATTCGTTTTTCTTTTCGGGGGGTCTTTGGTTTTATATATTTATTTATTCGATTAGAAATTATTCTTCTTTGACCCCTAATTAATTTGACGGCGATTTAGCACCATTGTGTTCTACATTTTTGGTTTTCATTTGTACTTCGTTACGCTTTTTAACACTAAAGCAAATACGGTTAAAATGATCACACATTTGATTAACGACGCTGGCACCGTAATGCCAATGAGCCAGAGTAGTAACCAGAAGTAGAAAATATAACAAAAAGCGTTCAAATAGTGGCCACCATAAGCTAAAAGCTATGCATAGAACATAAAGCGGTGTCATCCAGTGGAAACTTTCGCATCGTGTATTGGACATTTGAGCAACAATTAAACGGCACTAAAATTTTAAAAAATATACAAAAAAATTCAATAAAATTCAAATTTTTAATTTATACATAAAGAATTATAATTAAATTAAGGCAACGATCGTCCAACTTTTTTTATGTACCCATCATGTTACGAATCAATCATATATTTCTCTAAGAAGTATTTTATTAGCTCCTATCATTGTCATTCTGAAGAGCTGCGTGTGCTACGACTGATAGAGTACAACAGCTTGAGAGCTGCTGATTTAGAAGATGAATCGCTTTGTTATCAACTTGCCTGGCATTTACTTGATTTAAATGTTAGCCAATCTTCACTATTTATTGTAAATGTCTACAACCGACAACACTTACACTAATGTTAGAGAATATTGTGCCACTTAGCATATACAACGCGCGAGGATCTTTCTCGATTATATTACTGGGCGATAGAATAGGCCATGATAACAATAACAACATAAACACCAGTACTGGCCATAAAGGACGTACAGCTTCCGTAAAACTACGCATTTTCCCGGTACGATGAGCATAGCCGCTAAAATACGGGAATAAAATAAGAGCAATTTCAATTATACTTCGTTCACTTACTTATACACATTGATCATCACCATTGGTAAGTTGGCAAAGGCGCTAAAGTGCAGCAACGCTTCGATAGCAATGCCGAAAGGTATGCCGAAAGGTAGATCACATTTCCAAAACTCAAAACCAAACCACCAAGTGGTCAAGTACATAGCTGTGGAGCCCCACATGCTCAAATCATAACCCCATGGTAAAAACAATACGCCCGTATTGTATTTCTCCCAGTGCGAAAGAAAAAAATTAAAAAATACCATCCAACACACATAGTACATACGCATGGGTGACACCGAATATTGTATACAACGTCCGAAAATACTATATAAACACGTGGGTATCAACACAGCTGTGTATGAGTCTAAACCGTGATCGAAGAGCTCACCCAACGGTCCCGAAAGTCCAATCCGACGCGCCTGCTTGCCATCTATACCATCCAGCGTGTATGCCAAAAAGATATTAATCGCGGTACATAACCAAACCCAAGCGGGTACAGGAGTTGTGTTCGGCATTTTGGAACTAGCGTAGAAGTTCCAATCGTAATAAGAGAGCAGTATAAAATTTAAAGCTGTACATAAGAATCCAAGAAAGGTCATCAGATTCGGCGCCAGCCAGCGGGGAAAAAACTGTAAGGAGAAGATTATTATTACTACGACATTATTGTTACGACTTTGAGTGTAATCAAAGAAAAAACTATTTACTTAATTCAAAAGTAAAAACGACGACGTCGTCCATGTTCTTCTTCATTCTCATTCTACAATTCTATTCTTAACTATGCACTTCGTTCCTGCTTTATTGATTTTTGAAACGAGATATTTATTTACACAAGATACTGATTGGTCTTTCGTAATATCCTAGAAATGAGAATCTAAGTAGATCAGAGATTATTTGAATGTACATTTCCAAAAAAATTTAGAAATTAAAGTGGACCTTTCAATACCCACCACATGGTTGTTGTGTTAAATACGGTTACATTAAAATTGATCAATTTAAAATTAGACGATCCCACCTAACCTACAGATTAATCCGTTCTTATTATTGCAGTTCTTCGATAAATTGTTATTTTAAAATTTTTGAAAGTATATAGCACTCCTCAAATATATTCAACAATATTTGCTTAACATAAACACATAAACACTACAATCAAAGGAATAACAACGTAGTAAAATGCATAATTTGTCCAACTCTCTGATCTTCATTAACTGTGAGCGACATTATGGATGAACTGGGTTTTCGTCCTAATCTTACGAGAACAAAAAAGTTTTGAAAATATAATCGCACGCTCAGCGAACAGACGGCCGAACATGGATATATATATCTTATGGGGGTTTTTAAAATTACGAATTAGACACGCGTTTGCTTTTTGAGACATGTGGGCACAAAAAAGACATCGATTAAGAGATCGTACCAAGATTGCATATTTCGGGCAAATTGTCATATTTCTTCTTTCGTTTCAAAGACGATATACTGCAACTCCGGCAAATGGCTGGAAGATTTGCAATGTGTCAACGCGTTTTAGTATTTATATGTAAATGAAAATTCACCATGTCTGGACGTTGTCGCATCTGTAGCTAAGAGATAAAAAGTCATATATTTTGTAAGGCGACTTTATAAACGAATAGTATAATACCTCTCCAAAACATGAAACATAAGCTTTTTGATTCACTCCTTTCATAGATTATTACTTGTAAACATAAAATAGAACGTATCTTGTCCATTATTGAGCAGATTACTTGAAAACTCGACAAGTTAGCCATTTTGTAGATAAGAATTTCGTTAAATTGCTGCAAATAGAAATTTTAATATTTTTCGTACTAATTGTTGAGAGTCCTTTACTAAACCAATCATGAATACGTGACCACATTCATGTTCTTACTCAGCGTGCAATTTCGACTCAATTTAGCGATGTACCGTGTCCGAGTGTAGGTTTAGATGCGAAGCTAAAAGTCGCCACTTAAGTACAATTTATATAATACTACAGAATCAAAATTGCTACCAATATCACAATCGATAAACAGAACTGTATAGTTTTTATTTTAAATCTACCGCAATGAATATGTAAGATTTACCAAATATTTCCAAGGCAATACTTATGCATTATGGACCTTATTAAATTTTAGTCTTCTCTGTACGTCTGTCAGTCTGTTGGATGTTGCGATTGAGACTGCATCTTTTTTTACCTAGAAACTTCAACTTAATATCAAATTCTTTCCTTGTACTCTCCTCAGGTTAAGTTTAACTAAAGCGATTTGTTGTAAATTAGCAGAAAATCGATAATTTTTTTTTGATTTTAAAACCTTTACACTCCGCCAGAGGATTTCTCCTACATAGAGATACATACATACATATAGACACATATCAGAGAGCTAACATAACATATACATATATTGTTAATCAGTATAAGATTTTGAGAGGATTTAATCCTTTTTGTTGCCAACCAACGTCGTTTGTTCTTAAAAGTTACACTTTGAGAGAGAAAAGTTGGTTAGACTTGAAGTCGCAAGCCAATTTGAAAATGAATGTCGGCCAATCAGAGAAAAAAATGTAAGTTAAACATCGTCGCAAGAGCAAGCCCATAATAGACAAGGAATTGTAACGGTCGCTCTATAAGGGACGTTAATTCAAAACTCGGTGCAATACTAGATCCAGCTGAAAGCTCAGAAAAATCGTCCCGATCGATGCCCATATTCAACAAAGTACCAAGCAATCTTAAAATAAAAAAAAAATGCTTAAAATAACTTATCACAAAGTTTAATAATCGAATATTCCACCACCATTATTTATTTATGGCGTTTTGCCTCTTATCGGATAGAGCACACACGAAACACTTCGTGGTTTCGAGGCGTAATGTTCATGTACAAATTTTCACAGATCTTCAACTTTGCAACGCCTTGGATCTGCTAAATGTGACTGAACTGAGCAAGTGCTAATCAGGAGACTGATCAAAGCTAACACTTTTTGCACGGAACCTTATAAGCGATTTTCTAATTTTTTTTTATAGTTTGCTACGGTCTTCAACTGTATTTTTTTTCAATTTGACCTCAATAAAAAGAAACAGTGCCTTAAACGACATCCACCTATTTATCCATTGACATACGCTGATGCATCGGTTGTAATCAGTTGAAATTTATGGCGTACAAGCTCGAACGTCTAAGCTCTGTGTACATTTTATGACAACAACAACCAATTTCAATACAGAAAACTAATTAGTACCCCTAATAATAGTAATAAATATAAATAAAATACATATACGTATTTTTAGCATCATTTTATACTTTCGTTCATTAAACGAACAATGATTTTATTTAATTCTAATCCTAATGTTCTTAATGTTACAGTATAATCAAATGTAATCCATCCCTACAAACACCATATTACAGTATAATCAAATGTAATCCGTCCCTACAACACTGCATTTAGTGCAAATAACTTCAAACAAGTTCGGAAAATTCGCCAGTAAAAGTGTTATTTCTAATCTAATAAAGCAGTTTTCTTATCTAAATTACTAGTCTCTATTATTGGTGCTTTATGCAATGCACAAATTCTCTTGCGGCAAATTTTAAAAAATTTGATTTCAATTATCTTATTGACAGATAAACAATAAAATTTATAGATACGAAGTGTACTTACGGATCACTGTATATATAAACGTAAAATATAAAGGCTAGCACTACTGCAAAACAACACCAGCTTAAATTATGCTTTTCATACTTTATTCAACTCCTTTTTTTGTAAAGATTTGCGCCAATGCGAGTGTACGTTTTTTAGATATTTTTTTTGAAAAAAAGTATACAATCTAAACAGAAAATCTGAAAAATTAATATGCCAATATAGTAAAAATTGCCGAATCATTTTCATAAGTTTTATTTTTATTTTTGTATTTTTACAGAGCATTACAGAAAACGGTTTCTTCTTTTTTTAAGTTTTGCATACGACCTCACCGCTTTTCACGCGTTAATCGATGCTAATGCTTCGTAACAGTTAAGTTTATTGTAACATGCTTTAGCGCACTTGTCGTCTAAAATGTCCAGCGTAGCAAAGTATTGATTTTTCCTTCATTTTCTTATACCAACGAAGGACATAAGCCTTATAACAATAAAATAGAAACAAATCTTTGAGGACAACGAAAACCAAGCGACGGCCATGTCAGCTCTACAAACGAGCAAAAAAAATCTTTACAATAACTTCCTTGGGCATTCAATTCAACGACCTTTTAAAAATCTTAACACTAAACCTTAAAACAACTTCATTTTGTATTTACTCACAACCACTAGGCAATTAACTAAGTGGAAATGCTTCGTTTGGGTTAATATTGCAGCATAAAGTATTTAAATTTCGCTATTCACTTACGATGGTGGATTTGTTTCTTGTTTATTGCTTTGCTTCCCAAATGTACACAAACTTGAGTGACGTTCACGTTCACGCTTCTTATCATAATACGCATGAATTTGAATGCACAGATATAGGCCTCCAGTGATTAATGGCATTAGTCTTATATAATGCACTTTTCATTTTATATGCGCATAATAAAACTGCTTTCACAATATTTACCTTAACAATCCAATTCCAAAAAGGATGCATAATGTAAACACTAAGCGGTGAGGTATCACGTGCACTGTACTGTAAGAAAAAAAAATGTATTTATTACAATTAAAAAAATTATTTAAAGAAATAATTGATCGAACAATATTTAAATAACAATTAAAATTGTACTCTGTCGCCGCGACATGGATAGACGCCTTAATATTAAATATACGCGTTAATATTAAATATACAGCGTCTTATATATATATAAAATATACCATTTTTATCAAAAGGCGGTTTGTCTGTCTTTTTGCGAATTGGATAATATACGGCCCAAATAATACGCAATTTGCCAAACGAATAGACGGTAATGTTTAGGCGCGTTTTACATTTGGCACTGGTGACAATTGAGAAAGAATTGAAAGAGCGAGTCTGAATTGAGTACGGTAAGTTAACTTGATCTATCTATCCAGCTGCAATTGTCAAAAAACGTTATGAGAAGCTTACTTGGGACATTCTTTCGTGGAATAAAGTTGAAGCCTCTAAGGCCTTCTGTATGCATACTCAGCAGATAGGAGACTAGCAGTAGTGCATGCGTGACCAACGAGTGAAGATGATAGTTAAAAATGTCTTTAAATGCAAAGCAAGATGTGCTGCACTCTAAGTAGTGAACAGTTTCGATTGGTTAAACGTAATAACGTGAACTTGGGTGAATATCAGAAAAAATAAATAAAAAGAAGGTAAAAATCGATCTTGGAACCGCTAAAAACCAAAAATGTTCAAATGTCGTAAAAGGAGAAAACTGAGAAATTCCAGGGACACAAGCCACCGCAGGCCTACGAAGGAGATCAGGTAACGAATTATAAGTCCAACGTCTACCTGGGATATAAAAGTAAACGAAAATATGTAAATCGAAAGAACACTTTACGAATTTTTGCACATTTAGTGTAGTCCCAATCTTTTGCTGGGTACGTAATGCCAAGTGAAAGTTTCTTTTCCGTGTATAAATAACAAATGCAGAGTAAAGTCTCTTTGTACGGACTTTAAGCAACTATTATCACTAATAAATCTGAAGATGAATATGTACATAAGCGATGAATTTTTTTCGAAAGTTAGCGTGGTAGACTAACCATTAGGTTATGATAGATAGTGTATATTTTAAATCATGCGACTTATAATTTACCTTATAATGGTCGAATCCATCCAAGTGCTCCTTCGTCAAATATTTATAACTTAAAATTTCTTCAATCACAGACATGGTAATTGCAATTATGTATTTGAATATACGTAGAACGGTACAATGCAAATTTGTTATATGTTGATTTAAAAGGATCTACCTAAACACAATTTCAGGATATGTAAAGATTTAAACAAAGGAGATCAATGTGAAGTTGCATTACACCATTATAATATTCGCCATTCGAAGTGGATGAAGAGAAGGTTGTGTATTGCAAAAACTAGAAATGCACGCACACAAATTACCTTTAAGTAATTTGAGGGGACAGAATTAGACGTACACAGCGTAGATATTCGTTTACGCAAGAATTATTATTATGTATGTGCGGACGATTGTCCGCATTCAGCACGCATAGACTGCTAATAATTTAATTTTTGTTTTATTCCAATTTGATTTTTTTATATTTTTTAAAACTTAATATTATTAATTAGAGTTCACAGCCTCATTTACTGGCGTTTAATATTATTGTAAGGAAATTTTTTTTTGTTCATGCACAAAAATATTCGTCACCGTGTCATAGGATTAGCGAAAAGTTGTTTTCGATTTTTTCTTTTTTCAATCAATAACAGCCAACAACAAAAACATTTGTTTTGGTTTTATACAAAATTTCGAATGCTTTGGAACTAAAAATTTTATTCCTATACACAACTTATTGAGATTTTAATACGATGAAATTTTCATTATAAATTGCTCATATCTAGATTTCTTAACATTTATTTTTAAACTGCCTTAAATTATTTTAACTTTTTTCTAACCACCACGAAAATCCGCTGGCTGGCGTTTTGCCGCAAAAAGTTTTTCATTGCTAATGTGCGACACGCTCTTGTACTCTCCTCTACTCATTGTTTATTATATATTAAAGTGTTGCCAGGTGCTTAAAAGAATTTATATTCAGCGTATATTTTATAGTGCTTGGGAATATATTTTATCTTAAATGTAATAAACAGTCATTTACGCGTAGTTGGTAGTACATATGTCATTTAGCTTGTAGCTTGTAGCATGTGTTTAGATTAGGCATATTAGTTTCTCGCATATCTTCTTCGTATCGTTTTTTATTTATTTACTTCGTTAGAAAGTGCTGAACTTAAAGGATGGGTAGTGTGTAACTGTGATTGAAAAACCTGTGTGAAAACGCTTAGTCACCTCTCGTCGTAGACATACTCACTCTTTGTATATTTTCTACACATATATATTTTCGGAAACAAATCATTTTTCAAAAGCTGGCTTCACTTAACAACTATGAATTAATAACATAAACGGGGAATAATCATCATCACAGTCAAAAGTACCTGTTTCTGTTACATAAGGAATCAAATGCGGAACTCCTGTAGTTTTCCAAGAGTCATTACACAAAATCGCTTAAAATAAATTAAAATTTTGCCAGTAAAACTAAGGTGTCTCCTTCAAACAAAACTATGAATAAGAATAATTTAAATAAATTTGAAGAAAATCAGAACGTGTTTACTATAACATATTATTTTCATAAACTATAAAACTTTGATTGCCACTCTCAACCTAATATCGCAAATAATCTGGATGATATTAAGTATTTATCCCCTGAAAGTATTAACATTATCGTACGCTTGGTTCTCATAAATCTCGCATATAATTATATTAGTGCCCGAGTGCAGATAAGCTTTTGAATTAAAATTTCTAATACTAAAATTGGATAACCGGATTCTAAAATCATTAGCAAAATCTGTGACACCATGTCCTCTCTTCGTTTTCAAAAACGTATGTGACACACTTCACAACGGTTTGTAATTTGTTGTCGGAAACATAACTTTACCATACATATCGACGATTTGGCGAGTGGCACAGTTAGAAATTTAATCAATCCTAATTTAGCGCGTATTATCGTAAAACTAACGTGATCATCATTATTTAAACCAGAATTAAATTTGAAGTCGTGGTTACAAATCAGAGATTCAGAAAGGTAATATAACGGTGGCTTTGGTTTAAGTTGAATATAGCTTTAAATTATCAACGTTATTGATGCCGTGGATTAAATTCTTCACAAATCCGAATGGTCAAAGGAGGTAGATTTATACATCATCAACATACATATGAATGCTCCACCTAAAGCATTTTAGAAATGAAGCAGTTATGAAAATGCTTGCGGAGCAGCAAAAATGATTTTTCTTATTTCGAAGGAAGAATGACCATCGATCAAAAATATATATGGATTTCCCCGCTGATGCTTAATACGCTCTAGATTGTCTAAGTTACTCAGCGTATCAACGCCTAGATGATGTTAATTATTATTTGAAAGATAAAGAAATACGAAGAAACTTTATACTAGCTGGGTCAAAATTTGATTCAAAATTAGAAATAGTAAAATGTCAGCTACTTTTGGTGCTTCTGTTATCAATAGCACTCGTAACTCTATCAATCGGCATGATATGTACAGCAAAAAATTTTGTTAATGGTTTCTTAAAATGAAGTCACAGTACATCAAAGGTTTAAAAGCCAGAAGCACATAGAACATGCATTATGGTACACATACAAGTGTGTGCATATGTACAAAAAAAACCAAAGGTGAATTAACCAGTCTAATTT